TCCCTACTGGTCCAGGAGAATCGTAGCTCAGTTAATTGAGTCTGCAAAGGGAGGAGACTTACCATGAGGAATCAAATGGAAGAGAAGAGTTGAAATAAAAAGACGGGTGTCTGCAAATTTGACCTTTACTGTACTCTAATGTTTGGCAGGTTAAAATACAGGAAGGGCCACATTTTTAAACTGGGAAAGTTATTTATCTTCCTGATTGATTAATAGATATTTTGAGAATGCAGGAAGTCCTGGCTCATTTTCCAGGTGTTGTGGGTCTACAACATTCAGTTTGTTTGTGGTGTTTTTCTGTGACCTGTGCTGTAGTTAACATAAATGGCAGTTTTCTGCTTTTTCTTTCTTCAGGTTTGCCTTCTTGTCACTACTTAAACCCACCATAGTTGTTGTCCCTGGGGCTAAACAATCCAACTATACTGTCAATTCCTCAGTGGCATCAAAGTCACTGAAAGGAGAAATCAATACAAGAGGCAGTCTTTGCCCCTTTTGAGGGAAGCTCTAAACATAGGGAGAAGTTTTCCTCCAAGGAGATCCAGGAAGGCTATAAGCAACCTGTTTATCCCACATACAAGGCATCTGTTTAGATGAGAAATTGATATACTTTTTTTAAATGCAACCCAAAGAAAACATTCTTTTAACTAAAGCAGAAGTGTTTCTTCTATCAGCTCCAACGAAAGCTTCACATGTACCTGAAGGAAGAAGAAACTGAGTTGCTTAACCTGCCTTGCTGTGTTTTCATATGTATGAAATACCTTTGAATTTCTGCCAGCAGGTCACACTCTCATTTCAAACTGAAGTGCCAAGCACGTCTCTGTGAGATGTGGACAGCATTTTGTACAGAAGAAGTCTGTGAAGGCAGCACAGACCCAGAGAGGTCCTTTGTCTTGGGCTGGCCCACCACAAACTGCGTGGCAAATTTCAGGTAAGAACTGAGGTATGTTTTGGTTTTGGTTTTGTTTGTTTTGTGTTTGGTTTTTTTTCCAAAGTACCTACATCTTTTTAGGCTGACAGGTAATGAGACTATCACGAATTCATTTCAGCAGCAGTCAAGCTGGGAAGCAGGAACTTACTGATTTTTAAACTTCTCCTACTGTAAGCAACTCACCCTCCATGCTGCATCTTCTATCTCTCTGCAAATGTGGCAGTGATACTCACTTATCACTTAAAATTTTGAGAAAATACGTGAATTGGCAAAACACTGTCTGTGATGCAGACTTGCTTAGCAGAAGTTATCTTTTTGGGGGGTATAATTTGACAAACACCTTTGCTAATTAGTAACATGAACTACAAATAGTAAATAGTCAAACTAATGAAAGGATCACAGAGACCCTTGAAGAACACTTTTAAACAGAGCAGCTTGCATTGGAAGTAGCAGGAAATATACAGTCCAGTACTGACCTTGTCCTATTTCTCTTTTCAAATTTAATTGTGCCAGAGAAAATGTCGAATTTCCTTTTACAGCAGTATCTCTGAATTTTAATAGAGACTTTTGGTCTGTCTTTGCAGCATTGACTGTAGGACACATAAGGGCTGTAGAGGTGATTTCAGTGATTCCACTAATTTTAGTCTCAGCAAGGAGGACTCTGTCATCACTTTGGATAAGGGAGAGCACCATCTCCCTGAAATCCCAGCTGCTTAGCCACATTAATTTGGCTGGGTCTTGGAAAATGCATTTTCCTCTTTACCAATAGAGAGCAAAAGCTGACACGTGCAGCTTAATTTGTATGTCACATTATCTGTATCTAAAGAGAATGCTGTGCACAAACTACTCTCTGTTGAGCTGGTTGTGCTGTTTATGGGGTTTTTTTCACTTAATAGTCCTGAAACAAAGCTGAAATTTTATATTGATTTTCAATTGAACTCTTGACAATAAATGTGAGCTTTGATCATGAGGCAGCACATGATCTTTCATAACTATCAAGAAGTTAGCTGGGTAGAATAGCAATAGAACAGAGTCCGAGATTTTATAGAAGTGAAATTATTTTATGTCTGGAGGTACACAGAAAAATCTAAAACTCCTTGCCTGAGTGTGTAGATGCATATCTGAGAGAATTGAAGCAGACAAAGCAGAACCATATTTTTAACCTTTATAAAGTACATTCCCCTAACAGCATCACTCAGTAGGTTTGTAGTTTCCTAAATGCTTTCTCTGACAATTTGAAGATCTTGATTTGCAGAAGCAGCAGTGGGAATAGCAGTTACTCCATTTGGGGCAGGATTTAAATCAAGAAAGTTGAAGTAAAATTAGGTTAGATTCTTTGCACTACCCTATTATTAGCTACATTTAACCAAACAGTTTGTATCCTTTAAAGTGTATGCATGATATAAAGAGAAATGAGATAAGCCTTAGAATATCCAAAGTTAAACCCTACTAAGTACAATGGGACCTTTTTTCATTGTGACTCATGTACTTTATATTTTGGTGATAAACCAAATAATAAATAAGAAGAGAATTAAAATAGTGAAAGTGGAAAGAAGTCTATATTCCTGAGGAAATACCTTTAAACTTCTGAATGAAGCTCTTATTTTAAAGTGCCCTCCTCTTTTATTTGGACATTAGCTTAAGAACTCAACCCATTTCCTTCTAAAATTCACTGGTAAACCTTTAACTTCTATGATAAAAACTGGTAACTGGGGCTTTTGATGTGGCAGGCTTTTCAGTAGATTTTGCAGGGAAACAGATTTTTCATTCAAATCTGGAAAAAAACTTTTAGGTTTTGTAGGTGTTTAGGGAAATTTCAACCAAGAAGCAGTCCATTCCAGCATACTTTGTACAAGGGCTATTTTGGAATTAGAATAATGTCTGATTTGTCCCTGTTTGTCTATAATTCTTGCAGGTCTGCAGAACAAAAGGAAACATGGCTGTCTTTTTTGCAAAGGTAATTTGCTATTCAGTCTTTGAAGACACTGAAAAGAGCCCCAGCCATATAGACCAATGATTCCCACACAGTGGTACCTATGCCATCACAATAGATAAGCTCTTTCAAAGTGATATGAAAAAAACCCACCATCTGGTGTCTTCTGCCTGCAGAAGATGGTCATGCTCTTCATGCAGTACATAAGGAGGGAAATCCTCCCCTGTGCCTGAACATGGCGCAGCATAAAACTGGAGCAATTCCTATCACACGTGGTCCCTTCCCTATGCAGTTGTAGGAGCCTCTGCCACGATCGCTCTAGTTGAGCCTGGGGCTCTCTCCATGGTGATGGCATCAAAGCAAGCCCAGCTCAGAAACCTCTGCTCTAACCTACCTCCTGTTCTTGGCTGACTCTGTTTTGGTCTCACAAAATGGGCCTCAAGCTGGAGGATACGATGGGAGGGTTTGCATAAATAGGGCTGTCTTTTTTCAGTCAGTGTTTGGACAGAAAGCTACTAGTGGTGCTATTGTTTTCTGGTCACCTAGTTCTGCTGGGTGAGGTTTGTGCCTTTATCAGAGTTCCTAGGGTTTAAATCATCCTTGCTAGGGATGATTTCTAATTCACTCTTCTCCTGTTCAGTGCTTTGAACTGGTCTGTACAGTGGGATGTAACTGATTACTCAGTACAGACTGAGGCATCACAATAATGGGTAATTTTAGCTTGATTTTTAAAATCCAGTTTCTCTGGTGCTTACATTGATTTCTACAATGAACTTTAATACAGCAGGGCATTCCT